GAAAAACTTGTCCTTACAATGCAATTCAAATGAAAACTATGCTATTTCAATTTCTAAGCAATCTATTCTAACTCTAAAGTAGTAGCTCAAAAATCCGATCTTCAAGCAATGCGATCGAAATCCATTTCTTCACGATCAGATTCAGCTTACTTCTTCCCTTAAGTTTCCTCTCTTTTCTTCGATCCTACAAAACATCAAAATGTAATCTTATCACATCATGTATTGAAAATCAAAGAATAGGAACTTATAGAGTTAGTTATTGGATTTTACCTGAAGTAGAGCCATACGTCTTGACTCTCCCATCTCTTAGATCTCTCAGGTAAAAAGGGCAGCTTTGTCTCCAATGCCCCTTCTCTTGGCAGTAGAAGCAGATGGACTCTTTTGAAATGGCACAAGGAACTATCTCAGAATTTACCTTTTTCTGGATTTCCAATGTCACTATTTTCAATTTCCATTGAAGTTTGAGAGTTTGATTTGCCAGACAAATTTACTCGATTAGCACGCCAAATCATTTCTGATTCAGCAGCTATAAGCAAATAGGTCAAATCAATGAGGGTCACGTCATGGTCCATCATATAGTACTCTCTAACAAACTCACTATATGATTCAGGAAGTGACTGAAGAACCCAGTCAACAGCCAACATTTATGAGATATCGACACCCATCATCCTTAACCTATCAATGTGTGACTTCATCTCTAAGATGTGTGCACACACAGGTTTCCCATCTTCGTGTTTACTTGCCAATAGGGCTTGAGTGAGCTTGAACTTTTCAAGCCTTTGAACTTGTGGGTTAGGGAGAATAATTGGAGGAGGTGGAGGAAGTGAAGCATGACTCTCATTTCCTTGATCGTATCGTGGAACGTCATCTTCATTTGGAAAGCTTGTTCCAAGGGATTTGGGAAGACCATAGTTGTCATACTTTGACATCTACAAAACGGGAGAAAATCCAAGTTAAGTTGATTAGAATCCTTGATGTGACACCCAAATGAAACATCAAGGCTAGGATCCAACACAATACTCTACAACCTAGAAGAGGGATGCCGTAATCTAGTTGCAGAATATTTGAAGGTAGGTAAATGACGATTTACCAATTCCCACCATGAAAAACGAAAAAGAAATTTAAGTTTTAAATGAATTGAAAACTCCTAGATCTTTTGAGATTCATTGAACCTTTCAATGGCATGTTTAAATCTCGATATGCACTTCAAATTTTGCGACTGGAATGCCGAGGATCGCAAACAAGTTTGTGAATAACCATGCGAACCAACATGGTGCACTCAATGTCTTCATCACCTAATCAATGTGCCGGTTAGCCACACACGCTCCATTGATCTATGATAAAACATCGAACCACCCTTTGTCGCCAATGTCAATCCCAAATTAGTGTGCCGGTTAACCACACGCGCTCCACCAACGATTGACAGGGGCACAAAGTGTAATTCCATGGATTAGCATCACTTTCACATTTTATCCTAGAGTAACTAAGATTTGGGAATTTGTAAAAGCATTTAGTTACTTTGTACTTCATTATACTTATAATGGAAGGTTTCTGTCCTATCCTACCTGTTCGGCTAACGACCCTCCACTAGTCAAGAGTGCGGTGGGTAAGAGTGGATACCCATTCAATCGCCATTTTATAGGCAATTTCCTTAAACACCCCTTATAGACCAGCTTCGTGAATGAGGCCTACTAACGGTAAGACTGACTTTTACTCATATATATAATATTAGACTTTTAATGTTACATATATAGTATAGGGTGTATTTTATACTTTTAAAATACTAGGTGGTTTTATTAACTTTCCAAAACCATAAGGGTGTAATTTGAACTTATTCAAAATACGAGGGTTTTAGAATTTAACATTTCAAAATTAAACTTTTAATCAACTTTTAAATTCCAAAACTTGAGGGCAAGTTTTGAAACTTTTCAAAACATAAGCAAGAACATTCTAGATCAAATTATTAATAATAATTAACCAATTAATTAGTAATTATCTTAATATGACCTAATTCAATTTCTTGCAAGATAATCTATCAAATAATTCAAATAAATCAAGTTTATCACATAAAGAAATGATTATCTAATTAATTTGACAATTATCTTTTACTTTGGTAAGGATATCTCTTAAATTAAACAATTAATTTAACCTAATCCCTTAAATCCCCTAGAATTCGAAATTATGGGATGGGATATTCAAAATCTTTAATTACCAAATTTAAACATTTAAAGGATAATTACAAGATATGGCAATATCCAAATCCCTAAAATTTAGGATCTAATCATGAGGAAAGAGGCAATTTCGAAATTCTAGGGTTAGACAACCCTAAAATCGAAATCTTGGGGCCAAAGAAAAAAGGTTTAGGAAATCTTACCAAAAATTTCGAAATCTAGGGTTTAGAAACCCTAATTTCGAAAATCAAGCCTCCAGGGTTTATTAGCCATAAACCCTAATATGTCAAGTTCATACATTTGAATAAAGCTAATTGAAAACAAAAACCAATGGCTCTGATACCACTGATGGGTTTTATACAAACAATCCTATGTGTGCATGCAACCCTAGAGTTGGATCTATGTTTTCACTATTAGTTATACAACTTTATGAACACAAAAGAACCCTAGCATGCATCTACTATTTTCGAAATTGACATAGGAGAATAGAATACATACCTTTTGTTGTTATGTAGTAATAACAACTAGTTCCTTGAATTTCCTTAGCTCTTGAAAGCAAGTACCACAAGTGTAGTACCTCTAATGGCTCACAAACACACTAGGTGAAAGGATGAATATGGGAGAGAGGAGAGAAGGATATCTTGCCCTAAAATTCGTCCCTTTTAGGGTTTCCCAAGGCTTGGACGAATTCTAGTGCCTTAGGGTGCTATTTATACTTGAGGCTAGCTAGGGTTTCAAGGTGGAAACCCTAATCCCTTAGCTTAGGGCCTAAGCAAGTCCATGGACTCCTTTCCTTAAGCCCTTGGACGAAAACTCCTAGATCCTTCTAGGATTTTCGTTCAAGCCTTAATAAAAGTGATCTAATAGCCCAAAGTCTCAACTATCAAATAATTACAAAACAGCCCCTGTACTTTTAATTAATTCCTTTAATCCCGAAATTAATTCCTAATTAATTTCTGATTAAATACTAATTAATAATATGATTCCAAATTATTATATTAATCATATAATATAATAAATAAATCATATTTATGCCCTAATCAACCTCTCTCCTCAACTGTCATCCTGTCTAGTCACCAGTGTGAAGGCAACCCAAAAGGACCATGCTCACAATCGGGTCAAGTAAATACCAAAATAGTTATGGACTTAGACACTAATCCAACAGAAAATGGTGTTGGGCCCAAACTCTTGGCTTGATCGAATTTTTATGAAGCCAAATAAATATGTTTCGGCCCATTGGGCCCTTAAGTATATTTACGGCCCAATTTAACATTAAAGAGTGGATTTATAACCTATTAGGATTAATTGGATTAGTTATGCCCAATAAGGCCCATTAGATATAAAAATGGATTATTTTAGGCCTATATGGCCCAAAATGCTAAAGTTTTATGAATGTGGCCCATTTGGAATCCAATTAGGGTTCCTAGTACCAAAATAGTCAAATTGAAGATTTATTGGTCCATTAGGCCCAATAAGGGGATCCTAGTCCATAACAAACTTGAACCGGGATTTTTAGGGTTTACAATCCATATGAGATGTATTGTATTAGGTTTTGACTTTAAATCAAGAGTTTTGAATTCAAACGAATGGTTTTGATTAAGCATAGAGTATGATATTCACTTAGAGTACAAGCCTTACAATAGATGATGTTTTCATGAGAATAGAATTTCATAGCAAAAATGCCAGTTGTGACATATTTGATTTAATTTTAGTGTAATACGTCAAAACATAAAAAATGATCATTCACACCGGATTGTTAATAACTAAAAATATTGTCCACAGTAAGTATTTTATCTTTGAATGCGTGCAATTAACACATACACACACACACACACACACACACACACACACACATATATATATATATATATATATATATATATATATATATATATATATATATATATATATATAATCGGGACGGGTCGGGTCGGGGCGAGGATAACCCACTCCCTGCCCCGAACCCGATAAAAAACCCGATAACGACCCGTTACCCGACCCGAAATAATCGGGTTGTGGGTTTCCCCGTCGGGTTCGGGTTTTTTTGCCATCCCTATTCGTAAGACAGCTTAATATGTCCCATGATTCCTTGGCATATTTGAGATTAGCAATTTTGCCAAATATTTAATAACCACTGAGTTTAAATTTGTGCCAAGGTTAGGCCCGTTGCAAAGGGTGGACGATAGAGGCGACCGTCCATGACCTATTTTTTAAAGGGGCCTAAAATTTTTATGGATTTTATTAATGATATATTAAACCAGATCAATATTCTTGAAGATATCGTTGATAATATTATATCTCAAAAAGTTAGAAGAAATATTTTTTTTAATATATGGATTTTTGTAATTGAAAATATTATATTTAGAAGCTAGTATAAATAATTTTCTTTCAATTATTGAGTTGTTATAAAAATGTTAATAAAATTTATGTATTTTAAAAGCTTTTTTCCTCTTTAGTCTCTGCCCTGCCAAGGTTTACCTAGCTGTCCTTTCTTTTAGTCGTATCATCATCTCCTTGTTTTAAAGAGTTTAAATAGCCCGAAATCATTTATGACATTAACTCTTTAGTTTACCTACTAAACGGGCTATAGGATGTCAATTTTTGAACAAATTTATATCCGTAACTAATTTGTTTTTTGATAACAATTTTTCAGTTTATGTGTATTTGTTGACTACTTGAGATAGTTTGTACCTCATTTATGGCATTATAAAAAATTTAAGAATAACATTATTTCATATATTTTGCACACATATAGTTGTGTGGACAATTGCACATTCTTACGTTCCCATACAAGGAATATGAATTAAATTAAGTCAAAGAAGATATTGATCATGCATAATTGCACATCCCAAAGGCACAAGACTCTCCATTTTTGCACTTGTTTTGACACACCCCACAATTTCTCTTGTCAACATATGTATTTTTACACTTCCCTTTGCAGCAACTCTCGTTATATTTACATTTCAACCCACAAAAACCACAATTCAACCGATTCGCTGACACATCTACACACTTCCCTTGGCAACAACTCTCATTGGACGTGCATTTCTTCCCACAAAACCCACAGTTCGAACGATCTGTATCCACATTCACACATTTCTTCTTGCAGCAATCTGGCGCTACACCACCCCTTGCTCGACATACCCTGGGATACACATCACATTGGTAAAATGGATTCAGAGCTAGAAGTTTAGTTCTAGAGATCATATGAGGGTTACCATCATCATGAATAATTTTGTCGTTGGATACTAACGACGAAAGAGGGGTAATTGAGAGTGAAAAGGTAAAAAGGACTAGTAGCAACGTCATGAGTAAAGATGGAGGGGTATGGTGTATTGGTTTGGTTGGAAGATATGGGATTTTATAGAGGTATATGATGCTAAAATGGGAAAGCTTGAGTTGCAAGTCTTGCTTTCTGGGGTTCATGAATTTAATCTATAAGAGGAACCTTGATTAATTGGTATAAAAAAAGGAGTTGAAAATTCGCATGTGTGGTGTTGATCATCCCCACCATATGAAGAAAGCTTGCAACTTTGAGTTCCAATCAAGAACTTAGACTTTAGCAACTCGTTGGATGATACCATCGTATCAAAGGCTAAGCAAAGGCACCTAAAGATTTTTCCTTCAGAATAAATTTTGATTTTTTTGATAAAAGAAAAGTTATTATACATAAGGAAATAGGTACGAAATCATGTTTTTATGGAAATAAACTGTGACAAGTTTGTTGGTATGTAAGATTACAATTGTAGTTTTATGAATGTTTATTTTACAGTTATATCCTTTTTGTTTTTTTATTAGATAAAAAAATTAGTTTATATTTATATACAATGAAAATAAATTAAAAATTATAAGACACGACAACATCTCATTAGATTCTCGAATCAACATGTCCGTTAAATACTGTGTCACACTATATACCACGAATAAAAGTGTATTTCTAACAAAATAATTGTTTTATGGGGGAACAAATTACTTTTTTATTAAATTTTTGGATATTGAGAGTAAACTCTACACTTCAGGCCCCATAATATCCTATCAACCATGTTATCATCCTAACGTAGGCTATCCCAAGAGTTGAAACATATGGAATTAATTAATATAATCTTAGATAATTTCCGATGCGTATAATTTTATTAAAGATCAATTATAAATACATTATAGGATACAATGAATACATCATCTATATATCTACATCTATATCTATATTTATTATAATAAAAGCAAAATCATTTGCATCAAATTCATTTGAAACCAACGACGAGTCTATAACACAAAACGATGTGGTTCACTATTTAAGTGAATCGTCGTTTTGTGTTATATTTTAATCTTCTTTTACTTTATTTAATTTTAAGTTGTATTGAGCTATCTTTTATTGTAGACAAAATCTAACAAACGGTCTAAGTGGTTTCCAAAAATCTAGGATATAATCCATAAATTTAAAAAACCACATAGATGGTCCATGTTGTTTTTAATTTCTATCGAAATTGGTCTATCACCCATCTAAAATAAACTTATTTACCCTTTCTAACATATTTTTTTTAAAAGGAAAAATAAAATAAATAACTTGGGCTCACATCTCTCTCTCTCTCTCTCTCTCTCTCTCTCTCTCTCTCTCTCTCTCTCTCTCTCTTCTTCTTCTTCTTCTTCTAAAAAATCCCTTCCTAAAGCCCCGGAAAATAAACACTGAAAAAAATATAAACCCAAAAAATCAAACTCATTGTTCAAGTGGGTTTTGCACCCTATGTTGGTGCTAGCAACAATACACCCCATGTTCATCGCCTTTGGAAAAAAGAAAGATCTGCCCAAGAAATGATGACCATTTCATTATCGGAGGTGGAGTTTAAAGAGGGAGGCAGAGAGTTTTTTTTAAAACCAACCACTACTAGAAAAACAGCCTTTTACGACGCGCAATGCGTGTCGTAAAACGCTCAGACGACACGCAAATGTGTGTCAAGGAAGGCCATGTCATAACGAAAGACGACACACTTTTGCGCGTCGTCTATTTACGACACACATTTACGACGCGTAGTTACGACACACATTTACGACGCTCATTTATGACACGCGATGCGTATCAAGGAAGACCCTGTCATAAAGGAAGACGACACGCATTTGCGTTTCATAACCTTACGACGCGCGTTTAGCACACACATTGCGTATCATTAAAGCCCTTGTCATAAATGAAGATGACACGCATTTGCGTGTCATAAACTTCAGCAACCATTTACAATATGCATATACGACGTGCCTTTACGATACTCTCTTACGCATAATACAAAAATATAGAAATAAATACATACCAAAACAATCAATTTCATCCAATAACATCATGTCAAAAAATTGTAATACATTGATATTAAAGGGATCTGATTGTACATTGTTATTAAGAGGTTTTCCCTAACTATATAACCTAATACTACATTGCTATAAAGGGGCACCTTCTTATTTCAGTAACTCAACATTAAGCTGTTTGAAGAAGCTCTCAAACCCTTACTTTCTTCAAATTTACCAATTTTTTCCAAAATCCTCTAATCCATGTCTCTCAGCAAGAAACTAATCAGACCCTAAAACATATTCAACAAAATAAGAAACGAGCATCACACTATCTACCCATCAAAGTACATTGATGGGATATGCGATAATAAACAAATCAATGCTATTCTTGCATTTTGAAAAAAAAAACTACACTTAGAAGATACATGCCATCTTCTGTGGCTTTGAGGCCCATAACAGCACCATAATGAGCTGTAGCACGATCCTGGCTGGACAACAACCCTGGATGAAGTCTCTATTTTTGCTTGCCCTGCCAGAGAATCCTGCTGCTGCCTGAGTGTTTTGAGCCGTTGCTGGAGGTGGCTTTTTTCTGTGGTGGTCGAGTCTTGGAAGATGAAGTTTGACCAGGTGAAAAAAAGGATTTAGATGTTGTCACCTGTCCAAAACAAAAAAAAAACAGATATTATATGATCAAAGACATGTGCTACGGGTATTCTGGTTATTTCTCAGCATTTGTATTAAAATGCTCACTCCTTAAAAAATTAAAACAACCTCTACAATGTGTCATCTTATATTTAAAAAGGGTATTACCAATATTTTTTTAACATCACATATGGCGTTAATGGTGTTTCACATTTACTACTCAATCTCTTAAAAGTATTGAAAATGTTCAGGCAGCCAATTTGTTATTATCCATTTTAAAGATTTTTCTTTTAAAAAATAAAAATAAAAAACATCAATCACTTACTTCTGTCAAAATTAGGAAAATTCGACTATATAGTAACCAAGATTCACTGTTATTTCATCGCTTGAATTCAAAAAGTTACTATATATAAAATCTCAATATATCAATAATATTGTGATTCGTCAGATTAACAAATATATAAGGTGTAAGGTTGATCGATTGGGCCCTGAACCACCTTGTGATATTGTCCCTGAAGCTCTTGTTATAAGTAAATTACATTATTCTTAGACACAAAATTATTAGCTTTGTATGGAATACAATGATGGAAGGGTATTTTAGACATTTCACTAATAATCAAATCTTACCTTTCAACTACAGGTACCTCGCTATGATAGTTAACAGTGGCAAGTTGGTTTTCACTAAGGAAATTGTCAATTGCTCGGCTTGAATTCAATGTATTAAAAAACACCATCACACTATTTCCTTTTGCTAAACTTGACTAAACAACATTAGTTTTTTTTTATATTTAAATATAAAAATAAAAATAATAATTATTATTTGCTAAACTCGATTTGAATTCAACTGGTTCATACATTATAATAATGGTATGATTTATGTTTATGTTTATGTTTATTACGTAAACATAAACATTAATATTTGCTAACTGCTTATTGAAGATGTTGATATCAATTTTGAAATCAATAATAGTTCATTCGACATTTACAGTTACAATATGACATAAACATAACACAAGAGGATGAAAAACAATTCAAATTTCCCAATAAAAGAGCATAAAATGAATAGAAATAGAATAAAAAAGAATGTAACCTGTACCAATGCTTCCAGCTTGTTCTCTGCACCTGAAATCTTAAATAATAGTGATCATGGTCAGCTATTAATCCTTGTTCAAAACTAATATTTGATTTACCATAAAAGACTGTTACAAGTGATTGCTCGACTTTGTTGATTTCATGTGATTAATACAAGATCACAAGATATAATTTTAAATACAAGATATAATATAAATGATCAAATTGTTACTTGCATGATAACTGGATGTCATAACTAAAAGAAAAAGAAGTAACTGAAGTTATTATAACATTTATTAAACCTATTTTTAGCAAAAAAAATGACCATTCCGCCCTTCAAGTTTAAAGTCACAATTCTAGCTTCTTTTTATATGGAACAACACATACCAAATACTGATCAGATATCCAAAATTGAACAAAACTATAATTTTTGGAAATGTTACCATACAAATGCCAATAATGCCCATCCTGTTTAAAATCTCTTCTAACTGTCATCTTGTAATTCAAGCAACTGTCAAGAATGGCATAAACAATCTCCATCTGGACATTAGTCTTTAGAAGATTGCAGAAACATTTTTGACCAAAATGCTCCTTGATTTTCTCCTTGGTGAACCACATGTACACAACCCTTCTCTCCAATAAAGATATTGATTCTTATAAGATCGACATAAGCTAAACCTAAAAATCAAACAAAATTTGATTAAATAAAACATGAGAGATGGTTAACAATCAACTAAGGCTTGAGTAGATAAGCACACATGTTCCATAATTATATTTTTTGTCCTACTATCTATGCTACAATGTGAAAATAAACTAAAATATAGAGTAGATTAGCACACATTTTCCATCATTAGCAATATTAACCCGATAAAAGCTAAGGATTGTATCATACATATTAAAAATATTAAACTCTAGGGATGTAGGTTCAGTTGTTTTGATTCACACGCATTTTTTCTAATTACCTGCTCCCATTGACATCCTTAGAACCAGATTCTCCATCTTTTTCCACTCAACTCCTATATCTCAACTTTCGTATCAACATCCCAATAGTTTTGCTATGAATGCTCTCAAGGGAATTTAATCAAACACTTGGTGGCAGAAAAAGAGATCTTTGTACACCGAAACATTTACCAAACCGTAGAATTATACTTTTAACTTTCCTCTTATTAGGACATTATGCTTTAAAGAAATCTAGTCAACTATATTAAAATTTTCTTTGTAATTCTTCAGTCTGTTCAAGGAAGCAACTGTTGAGGCCGAACTTATTCTGTTAGAATTAAAAGAAAGAAACTTGTTGGCAATTGTCCTTTAATTTCTATACCAAACCCATTCAAGAAATCAAGCATTTTTGAGTAAAATGCTTACCCAACTCCACAACAAATACGCTAGATGAAACGAATACTATAAAACCAAAAATAACAGTTATGATTAGAACACAATGACAACAAATCGAGTTGAAAAATTGTGAGTTATATATATGTTTACCTGAAAGAGCAAAAATTGATTAGTATAAGTACGAGTTTGGGTCGACCAAACCAGAAGAGATCGTCTCCTGGCTGAACCATTGGTGTACCCTTCACCACATTTGCCATTTCACGAGTCCTTCTCCCCATTTTTGTTATTATCACTTGTAGTTTTGTTCCAACTATAAGTATTATCTGCATATATAGTCAACAATATGTCTCAAATCCTAGTGATTATATCTGATCCACTCATGAACATATATACAGAAGATGAGATTAATACTTACAATCAATGGGATGAAGGGAAGCCAAAGGTATGCTTTCCAGCCTATCATTAGATAAACAAATCGTGAAATTTTGTTAATAAGACCAAAAAAGTATAACAATGTTGTTAATAAATTTCCGAAGTTTTTGAAGTTTGATTGCCTATATAAATTATAATAAAATAATTATTGATTTATATATAACTTTGTGACTGTTTACCATGGGTGTTGGTGAGAAGCAACAAAATGGCAAAAAACCATACTACTGGACTGCAATACAAAGGTTTAATTGTGTTATAAGCTTTTCATGTTTGAATTACAATAAAGAATTTCAAAAAAATTAAATGCATGTTTTTTTAAACAATAACTAATGGAAACAAATTAAATGATCAACCTTATTCCAACTACGACTTTGAAATCTTCTTCAAGCGACCTACTAATGTATTTGTGGAAATCAAACTAATCTAACCTACTAATGTAGCAACTTTTATAATCATTTTTATTACACGTGCTACTATTTTCAACCAATACAACTGGAATTGACTGCCACTACAAGAAAATATCCACAACAATCAGATTAAAGAAATTGTAAACAAATAAAAAGAGACTATGTACCTTAACTTCACGTTTCCTAAAACGACCTCCAGATTCTACAACTTTTAGAAGAGCCTCTGATCTTTTTCCAAAGAAGTCATCATAACCAAGACAATCTGGTGGTGTAAGCTGAGTATGTGTTAGCACTACTACTCCTTTATGCCATATTTCTTTACCAAAATTCGTTGTTGTTGCCTTCACAATCTATTTATCCAAGTTATCCACTCTATACGCATCCAATCGGTCCGCATATACCAAAAGATTTATTGTTTTGTTCAAAAGAAACCAACAAAATCACAAATCTTTTAAGGAAACCAACCCAATTCATTAACAATATTCAATCTAGATTTTACACACCTTTTGATGAGGTCAAGAGCCTGGTCATTGACATAACCTCCTTCAACAATCCCTGGTGTGTCAATGATGTTCAATATGAACCCAAATCTCTCACGGGAAACCATCACAGGTCCTGGGACATCTATCATTGATGCTAAAGAATGTTAGAAAAGCAATCTGTGGAAAAGATAGACATTAGAGCAGTTTGATTTAAACGATTTCTAACAGTTGGTTGTCCTTGCCATGAAACACACACATGCTGCGTCTTTCATTCCTTTCTGAATGCTCCAACACAAAATCCTGCAGCTGCACCACCTACATAATACCAATATGTATTGTAACCATAAATAATAGCCAACATACTTAAAACAATCATAGCTTAATTCATATACCTCGGTGCCCATCAAAGATCCAAACATATGGACATCTTTTTGATTCTCCACATGAGGCATAAGAAAGTGAGTATCCTCCATGGACTCCCTTCTTCCACATGTAGCAAAGGAACCCCATGATCGAACTGGAAGATACACTAAAGAATTATCCGCCTCAATATTTTGATTTTTCACACCTAGACCACTGCCATTTGCATTTGCAGTCTTCAAAATATTTTCACCTTGAACAAACCAGTTGATGTTCTCTTTATAAGGTTGGATTATCTGAGCAATCTCAGGTTCTCGGTTTCCTCACTTCACATGTTGTAAGCTTCTACATGATAAATGATAGTTGAAAAATATTTGAGAAAATTATGGCATGATTTCAAGAAGTAAGAAGTGTAAGATTGATTTGTGGTGGGTGCAGTTTAAAGACTTTAAGCAGGAGAAATTTTTTGATGTTCTCAATGAGTCCTTCACTTGCAAGAGCCTCTGTCACCTGTAAATGAAAATTTCATAGAAAATTTCACATTAGTTAAATGTGGAGCAGAACATCCCATGTCACCTTCTTCTCTATCCACCAAGCCAATATTGAAAGTATGAATGAAATCGATATAAAATAATAAGATATAAATTAAAAAATAAAAAACAAGTTCCATGCCAATTACAATGATAAAAAGATGTGGACTTCTCTGTCTAGGTAGGTTATTGATGCTTTACCATCCCATATGTGAATGACCTTATCTTGCAAGACCTGATAACCATATAAATAAAAAACTAAGACAAAAAAACAATACAAATAGAAAAATAACTTTAAGAAATGCATATTCCTTGGTGTAATTTGTTGTAAAAAAAGGACATTTTTGTTGTCAAAATAGTCAAGATATGATCTAGTAACAGTGGTCATTTTTTGCTGTTAAAATTATCACTTTTTGGTGTCAAAATGGTTATTATTTTCTGTTAAATGTTAAGGATATATTTCAATCAGACTTATTGCAAGACTTTAGCTTAATAAAAAGGAGAGCAAACAACAATTCAAGTTCTAAAAGAATAATAAAAAGGAGGGTTGTAGAAACGATGACCTCATGATACAGTAAAAAACCTTTGTCAAAGAAAACTTGCATTGTAATATAACTTTTAGTCAACATAATTAAGAAATATCATATGAATTCTTTCCTATAGAGAGAAAAACCTTTTTCAAAGCATCGTTTCCCCAACCAATAAATCAGAATGCAAACAAGTTGTTATATTCACAAATATTGAATTAAACCACAATTTAACAAGGATTCATGCATCTATTCTCCTTCAGTTATTAAACAACTTATGTTTATGCCTAATTGACATAATTCTTCCAATCCTAAGCAGATTTAATATCCTAAACAGATTTATGATACCATTTAGAGAAGGTCGAACATAAACATTAACCTAGAAACAACTCTGATTTATGGAATCAATTGAAGTTTTCTGAAGAAAGAATCATTCAACAGAAAATAGAGAACAGAAAAGGGATAATAGAGAAGGGAGAAGAAATATCAAGAAAAAAAAGAGAGCGAGAATACAGATGGTTGAGAATGAGCAGTAGAGATGGTCCAACAACTTACCTGATGGGAGGAAGAACGAAGACATCTTGCATGGAAGATGGAAAAGAGGAGACCATGGGAGGAACAACGAAGGCCTCTTGCAACTTGATTTATGGAGGAGGCAAGGCCACTTGTACCTTACACGCTGCTTGAATTGGACCTATCTAGGGCTTCATTTTTTCAGAGACGATGACATGGAGAAGTCACAAAACCCTTAATCTCCTTGTAAGCCCGACACATGTACAATGTAACGAGCCCTAATCGTAGTATTTGTGAGCGTGAAGAGTCGTAAATGGCTGGTTCTTGAATGAAGGCTTGTAAATTTAAGCAGTCGTCACAGTCTTAGTGAGGTGAGGTAAGCCCAAGGTTGCCGGCGAGAAGAGATGAGTGAAGGTCACCGACAGAAGGCGAGCAGAGGTAGCGAACATTGCAGAGAGAACTCCTTTGAAAAAGCCCTAGATAATGGTCCCTGCAATTTTGTTATAAGATAAATAGTCCGCACGTTCATTTTAATAATTATAAAGCGACATGCTTGCACGACACACTTCTTATAACAGGCGCCCTCCGTGTTTTTATTTTTTTTAGTTCAGACACTAATTTTAGGTCACGCAGAAATGCGTGTCTTAAATCCTTCAAATTTTGGAGGAGATGACATTATATTTAGGGCACACAATTTTGTGTATCGTAAATCACTGCGTGTCATGGTTTGCGCGTCATTAAAGGCCAATATTCTAGTAGTAACACAAAATCCCCACCTGCCACAATGGCGTTTTACCGCCTGTACCACCACCCTTGTTTGTAGAACAAATTCAGAATGAGAGAGAAAGAGTTGTAAAAAGAATTATGCATCTTATTTTAATAATTCTATATATATATATATATATATATATATATATATATGTATGTATGAGAGAAATCTAATTCTAACTTCCTCTAATTCTAACAGAATCAGTTACAACCATTACTAACTAACTGTTAGATCTATATGCCCAAGAATCAATATTGAGTGACATTGCTAATGACATATGATCCTATAGGGTCACACTTTAATCAAGTTGGTACTTGTTGAATATTTATTAAGTAATTTGTTATTAATAAATAAATTCAACTCTTGTATTTAATTAGAGAAAAATTATTATTCTATGAAAACAATATTGTAAGAAGTAGAAAATTAGTCTTTATATGATAAGGTATTATATAATAAGTCGTGTACAAAGTTTTGGACACTTTTATTAACCATGATTAAATCAAAGGCTTACTCTACCATGGTTAAAGGACTAGTGAACATTATTTATATAATTTAGGCCTTATGGCCGAAAGTTGTAGGAGAATGGAGGTTGCTTGTCAACCTCCATCATGTTGTTCCCCATGCCTCTCCTTTATAACCCATACTTTTGAATATTATATTCAAGGGGTTATAAATAGAGGGTCTTATACATGGAGAGTGTGCTAGTTTTTTGGTCTAAAACTTCTTCTCTCTTTCTCTCAAAACCGTAAGCACATAAGGGCTTGGAGCTCTTTCCTCTTTTGAAGACATTACTTGCTTTTGGTGTTCATTTGTGTCTTCCTTTAGTGTTTAATTGATTAAGAACTTAAGGCTTAAAGAACAAAGTTGTACAAGAAGAAATCTAGCAATTTTGGTACCTTATTCTTGTTGGTGGATTACTTGTAGAGAAGATCAAGCTCCTTGTTCATCCATCTACTTCAACACCCCAAATCCAAGAGGGTCCAAAGGCTACAAAGTTTGTAATTTGTAAACACCCTATGGTTGTTATAAGATCATTCTAACATCTTTAAAAGGATCCTTGATGGTTTGTTTTGTTGTCACACTCGAAATTTATAAGAAATTTTTAAAGCTTCCGTTGCCGGTTTTTGTGAAAAACTATCTATTTTATGCAACAAAAACCCTTCAGTGGTATCAGAGCCATCTTTTAAATGTTAGAATGATTTTTTATGTTATGATAATCTTTGGTTTTTGGAAAACAAGCATGGATTTCTTTTTGGCTAAAGAAATATCCATATTTGTTTTCTTTGGCAACTTTTTGTTGAAAGTGTTTATTTTTTATATAACCATTTTTTCATGCATTTTGGTTACATAAAGGTTGCCTTAGAAAAAACAAATAGTTGTTTGTTGATATGTTTGTTATGTATAAACAAGCCATTAGGACATTTGTGGTTGGTATTTATTTATTCATATGATGATGTAATAGATAAATATGTATTATTTCATTTGTTCATTTTTATATGTAATAAATTAGTTTTTAGACTAGTTGTATTTTATGTTTATAAAAATGTAACAAGATGGAGCATGAAGTTCTTATGAAGAAATCGAGCCTTTTTGAAGAGCTTGAAGTGTCCTAATAAGTCCTTTAGGAAATGACTTAATATTTGTTGTGATGGCTCACAATAAATATTACTAGAAAATGGCTTTGTTTATACATTTTAAATGCATGCTTGTGATGTTTATTTTTATTGTTATAAAATGTTGTATGTATGAAAATATGTTTTCCATGGTAAAACATTTTTACAAAAAAAATAACATCAAACTTGGGGTTTAGAGTTTTATATAAAAGTTTCAACATAAGATGTCAAAATTGATTTTTTGTTAAAAAGAGTTTTTTGAATATTTATATTTTTTTAAAACTCTAAAGTAGCCAAACTTTTAAAGATATAAAAAAGTTTAAAATATTTTAAAGTTAATCTAAACTCCATAACTCAATAATAAAAGGTTGTTTTATCAACAAAGTTAGAAACCGGTTCCAATCCGTATAACGTCGAATTAAAATTGAATATAAATTTTAACCGGTAAAATTTTATATGAAATAAATACAACTTTATGTTTTTTGGAACACTTTAAATGTACCATGAAATATATTATGCATGAAATATTCATGATGCAAAATGTTTTAAAATGCAAGAATATTAAAACATTGATAAAAAACCCTTATTTACAAAACTTCAAATCTATGCAATCCATTTAAAAATCACATGGGATTTTTGTGCAATTCATGTGGATTTTAGGGTCACCTTGAAACACCCCAAAAATCATGACCAAAAATTTTGTTTTTAAATCATAAATAAACCATAGTTATCAAAATCATCTCTTCTAAAATATAAGTCATAGTATCTCAAAACATCATATCCAAAAACATATGTCAATATATCAGAGTAAACATCCCATGCTAAAACATCGTGGTCTGTGCAATGCATTCATCCTGCGCTCTTCTCTTTGCAATTGGAAGTACCTGAAACCAAAATTAAAAAACCGTAAGCACGAACCTTAGTGAGTCTACCCAAACTACCACATATCATACACATAATCACATATATTGGGCCTCCGCCCCTTCATCGCCCCCCCCCCCCCCCCCCCCCCCCCCCCCCCCCGGCATCGGACAATGTCCGACATCAGGCCCCGCCTGGCATCGAGCCTCGCTCGGTATACAGATCTGTTTTTTCCAGGCCCCGCCTGTCACTGGGTCCCGCCCACTATACACATATAAACAATATCATATAACTATGCTAGCACATAAAGAATCATATACAATACTAATGTTCCAATTCTAATGCCTCGCCTATCATGGGCCCCGCGCCTACTTTGCTAACGATGAGATATGGAACCTCGTCCACACTCAGCTAGTGATGAGATACAGGACCCCGCCCACACTCACCTCCCTACAGGCGCATACATGTATCACATAGACAACAAGTATACTCAAACATATAAACATTCCTCGAGCCCCGCTCGGCATCAGACCTTAGTCCGAAAAACATATAAGCATTTATCGGGCACCACCTAACATCGGACTGTAATTCGGAAAGCATATAACTACCGACACATGAAAGAATCACGAAGACATCAAGCATACATATAAACATTCCTCGGGCCCCACCGGCATCGGACCTTAGTCCATAACATACTATCATACATAAATGGGCCAGCATTGGTGCCTTCGACCCGTTCCTACAGGAGGAAACTCACCTCGCAAAGCTAAATGCAAAATCTCACGAATAATCCTCCGGCTGCTGACAGGCAGATCCTCGAACTGCTGATCTCTCGACTCCCCGAGCTATTAATCATCATATAAACTAATTATGTTCGGGATTCTCATAACTTAACCATAAGTCCTCACTGGGGTAAAAGACCATTTTACCCCTTACATACTCTTGTCCCAAAATGAACTCTACCCAATCCTTGGCCCAAAAAGATAAACACTCCTACAAGGCCCAATTTCCAATTTGGCCTAATCCCTTCACATGGACCTCAACCTAAGGCCCAATAATGCTTCTCTAGACCAAAAGTTCAGTTCCAGATGGCCCACTAAGGCCCAAAGTAGCAAAGTCTACTGATTGGCCCAAACCGAGGCCCATATGTGCGAAGCCCACTCCGACTGAGTACACAGGGAGTACTCAGATGTACGCAGTACATACTAGGCTTATGACTTGTACGCTACGTGTTCCAGGTTGTACGCCCAACGTACTCCTCTGTTAAGCTCTTTTTTCTATTAAGCACTTAATGCTTCAAACCATGAGACCAAATCACAGATTGAGCTCTACTCAACGTCTAAACCCATAAAGTCACTGACTTGGTGACTTTGCATGTCTTAAACAAGCCCAAACTCCAAAAATGGTATTCTACTTCCATGAAAATGGTCTTAACTCTTGCATGAACCCATTATGACCTTCAAGATGGCAACTTTCTGCCTTAGGGACTCAAATAGCACCAAGGGTGGCAACCCTAAGCCTAGAAATCGGACTTGAACCATAAAGCTTCATCCTTGGGACCGAAAAGGTTCAAAACCCCAAAACAAAAGATCTAAGGTAATAACCACCAAGTTTAAGACTTTATACCTCAAATGAGAGCCAAAAGCTGGTGTAGTTCTGGATCTAAAAGCTCTATCTTCAAGAATGAACACCTTCTTCAAAAGCACCAAAATACTCTTTTAATGGCCTTCCAAGCTCCAAAATCACTCAAGTATGGATTAGGGTTTCATAGTAGCTGATTTAGGGTAAGAGGGAGGCTAGTCTTTGAGGCATATTGTTCATTTTATAGTGCCATACCCTAAAATTTAGGATTTCA